CCAACTGCCTCACAATGCAAGGCCTCACATGGACTCCTAAAGGCCAAAGGGAAAGAGGAAGACCAAAGAACACATTACGCCGAGAAATGAAGATGGATATGAGAAAAATCAACGACAAATGGATCGAACTAGAAAGGAAGGCCCAGAACAGAGTGGGTTGGAGAATGCTGGTTGGCGGCCCTTGCTCCATTGGAAGTAACAGGCGTAAGTAAGTAAATAATAGAGAAGCTCCATGTAGGGATTCTGTAATATCCTTCCAAAAGATGTTGGATAGAATATGTAGGAAGCAATTTCCTACAGGTCCAACTCTAAGCTATTCCCTAGACTGTCGAACACAAAGTCTTGGTTTAGCCAAAGTCAGAACAAGTAAGCTATTCGGCTTGATAAACTTTATCTGTTTCTAAAACATAAATTAACACCGTTAGTGTACCAAACAAACAGTACAGTCTATTAACAGAGGGAAAAACAGAGACACAAATAACGTACTGAATAGTAGCTAGAGAATAGGAAAAATGAGTCAACTAAGCAAATATTGTTTTATAATGAACATCAAATTGTGATTGGTTAATAAATAAGACACAGTCATACAAGGTCCAGGAAAGTTAGTGTGGTGGTGGGCGTTTCACTTTACTATTGGTGAGTTTGTTTATCGATCACATATTACAGAATATCTTCGGCTCTTTCTGAGCTTCTTAAGGTTTACTCGAGTGAACGAACTAATTGAATGTACATTTTTAATTCTTATAAAAATAAAGTCATCCATTATAAAGAATGTTAAATAAGCTTAAATAATGTTAGTCAATAAATTAAACAGAACAAATTATAAAAAACCCTCGCCTGGAGTCCCTCTGAGGCTACTTTCGGTCCCAAACCCGGATAAAGGAGGAGAGTTGGGAATGGGGTTAGCGATTCCAACCCGTAGAAAACTAACTCGCTAAAAAAGACGCTAACCAGTAAAATTGCAAACATCAATAAATTAAGACACAAATATTCCATGTTCTTAATTCAAATCAAAGAAGTATGATTATTCGAATGAAAACATATTTAATAGGCTAATTGTAATAAGTGATATAGATAATATATATATATATAAAATATCATTTATCCATCATTATATTATCACAGACACACAACAACAACAGATTCTTGTAAATATCCATCATCTAATAGTCTTCTGACATTTTTAAATTCCATAGACATAAAGAGTTCATCATTTGTGTGTGGGCTGTGATACTGCCCGGGTGCCCAAACCGAAGCAGGTGGTTATCTTAGGGGGCCACAACTCGAGCCTTTGACCTAAAGGTCTAACCCACAAGGCAGTGGAGCATCGTAAGGAGATGCAATCCCATGGTAGCCGGTGACCAACGATTGGTTCATACGCCATTTGTTCCCACAGGATACTGGAGCCCATGTGCACCATTGGTTTGGAATCCGGTTGAAGCGCCGGACATTCGCTTTACGTCCTCTCATTTTTTTCTCTTTCTATTTCTCTTCGAATTCTCATTGTTTTTGTGTGGCGCATATATATTGGCGCTTTCTTGTACCAATATTCATGTGTTCAAATAAATAAATAAATAAATACATTTTTAAAAACAATAACCTAATCAGATCATTGTAGTTTGAAGTAATTCATTACCTTTTTTTTATAAAAAATTACCCATAGATAAGGATTGTACGAATATCATTACAGGGTTTCAAATTTCTGGTAACACCTACAGATTGTAAAACACATGTATAGGTTATTCGGAACCAATCACAACTTGTAAGCAAAGATGGACAGTGGCAAGCGGTGGAATCCTGGACGCACGTTTCATCCTGTTTGGGACGCGTCATCTGGATGTACCTGCATCTCAGAGTTGATGTTCATTCTGGGACTCGAACTCAGTACCGTTCGCTTCAAACGCCATCACTTAGCTACTGAGTCCTGATAGCCACTTGCTTGTGCAATGGGGTGAAGTTTAATTCACTTGGTATTGTTTTACTTGAATCTTCCCATTGATGTTTTTTTAGGACTGAAATTGATCAGTCTCTTATTGGCATATGTGCATAATGTGGGTATGCCTCGATATTGCCTTAATTTATAAGATACAAGTAAAACAATACCAAGTGAGTCAATCACAACTTGGTTTGAATTTACTTAACTTATATAATTGGTACTATTGACTTCTTTGTGAATGTTCTTTTTTCATCGTTTATAAATTGTCTACTTGGATAAAGGATTTAAATCAGTCGGGAAGTCATAATAGATAATTAATATTGAATAGTTTATGTATGTGTAGAATGTCACATCGATAAATAATAATGACCTATTCGTGTTTAGCAAATTTTGGTCGATAAATACGTTGTCCTGGTAATGAGATTAACATAGAAATATAGCCTTGAATAGCTTTGAAATGATCATAAATCGATAGCCAAATATCCCAATCCGAATGTCTCATATTTCTCAATGAAATCAGTACAGTGTCATGATGTACATTGTTGAGAAGTGTCGAATTCATATATCAATAATCACGTTCATCATTATTACTTATAAAATTGAATCAGTAAATAACTATTGTAGTTCTGCACCAAATAAAACGAAATGACGAGCCTGATCTGATTATATCCATCCAGGGACTTATTATTAATAACCGTACTAATACTAATACTTATCATCCGATATGGATTTACTTGATATAAATAACAAAACTCATTCATCATGAAGTTTGTCTTTATTCGTCTGTGTTGATCATTCCCATGATGCCCACATAACCCAGTCAGTCAGTCAGTCAGTCAGTCAGTCAGTAACAACGTAGAACTTCATACGTACGTACAAACATTAGTTCGAGTTGCCACACCACATTAGCACACAGATGTAGTGGTCAATTATAATCCCGTAGTGATAGAGGTAGTAAAATTATAAGCTGTAATCAGAAAAATTAGGGTTTGAAGATGTTATTCAAGGAGTATAATCCAGTGAAATAAATTTGGAAAGAAAAAAAAAGAAAGAAACATGAAGAAGTCAGAAGATTAGAATTTGGAAGAACACAAAGAGTGGATGCACCTGCGCCATTGCAAACGATTTCGAGCCATGTCATTCAGGGTCTCTAACCATCGGTTGCTATCATCTCGCGGTCCCCAACCAGGTAGTCTACACCTACCAACACGTGTCTCAGCCATCTCAACTGATGAAGTTCCACTACGTCATCAATCGATTTGCCATCCACCTAACTGGTAAACACTAACAGACGCGTGAATTTCATTTCATACTGTCAAATTTCAATTTAAAAGTACATTGATTCACTCAACGGAGATAGTTCAGTTATCATTTCAACTGAAAGTATGCTCAAATAAATCTACAGTATATCAAATGAATTTCAAATTTATTATGATGTACATGTGGTGTTAATCAAAGATTAAGATTGATATCAGCCAGAGTATCAGTAAAATTCAGTGATAAACATTTACCTAGAAATTCAAGGGTAGCCTTTGAAATTAGCCACAAGTCAATATATGAATATACAGCACAGTAGAGAGATCAGTGGAGATTTGCCCAATTATCAATATTAATCCTAATAGAAGATATTAGGCAAAGAAGAGATGATTCCGAAAGAAAATACGAATTCGTGGAGCAACGAAAATAAATTAGAAATGTTAGATCTAATGGAAGACAACTAATGAATGAGTCAATGCTATTGAGAACCATTCAGTGCCTCGTCAACCAAGGACCTTAACCACTGATTATAGTAATCGTGTGCATATCAACAAGGTAGTGTCAGTTCAGTTGAAGATATCCGTAAGCTACCAGTATTTGACCACAGATCCCTTAGAAATAATGCTCGTATTGGCTGGGATCATCGGGTAAGTAATAGTGATGTTAGACGCAGGGTATTAGGGAATGATGGTAAATCAGTTGATGAGGTTATGAATCTTCATCGACTGAGATGGTTAGGTCACGTGTTACGTATGCCTGAACACCGATTAACACGACGCACAAGGCTAACCGGTGTTGGAGATGGTTGGAAGAAAACGTGGCATCAGTGCTTGAAGACGCTAACTTCTAGTCTGAGCCATGTTGGTATATGCAGACTACTTGGTTCGGGTCCGCGTGACTATCGTAACCAATGCTTAGAGACTCTGGGTGATATGGCTCAGGATCGATGACAATGGCGTTGGTGTATACACTCTCTGTCTTCCCTTAAACTATGAGATTAAAATCGCTTCATATCTTTCTTTCTACGAACTAATTCTTTTTTCCTGTATCGTATCCTTATATGCAATCTTTTTTTACATATTACCATCACTGAATCAACCACTTCTATGAATCCGATGTTCATCTTGCTGTACTGATGAGGTATGGCGAATCGGACCGATGCACATATGTGCCTGGCCCTACGTTGTAGCTGATTGAGTATCAGTTCGATGCAAGTACTGTATACACTAAACAATTAATTGATCACACAAAAACCATCCATTTCCAATAACACCAGTCACCCTAACAACTCATATCATCCTGTATTAGTCAAACTTGAAAACACTCTTTATTATAGACGAGGAAGATAAAATTACAACTCACCATGAATAATAAATCTCAGTTGGCACACAACTGATACAGTTGTGGAACACATCTGAACAACAGATTCAGATTTAATGGGATGTAATTATGGACCACAATTAAAGTAAACAGCAATAATTGGTGAGTCCATTATTCGCTCGAAGCAATCAGCAGCACTAAGTACTGAATATTTCCCACGACACTATCATTGGTTGAACACTGAGACTTGATGCACACTAAGTGAACATTACTCCCGACCAGAATCCAACAGTCACTGTTCTTAACTGCAACATTCACTTAAAATGTGTAATTAGAAGCACATTGAAAGCTTGAGGATCAAATATGTATATGCTTTCCTTGAAGTCATTAAGTTTACTAACCACTTATATTTAATCACCAATGTATAGGATATAAATTCAATTGTGTGAGGGTCTCGTTTAAAATGTTTAGGTATGAAGCAAGCTGCATGTATGAGAATCGTTATTACGTCAGTGTTACATATGCAAATGGATATATCTATGCAATTGGAGGTCATAATGGTGAATATGGAGGTCGTTTAGACTCTGCAGAAAGATATACCGTGGATGGAAATTTATGGCAAACTATATCTTCAATGAATCATATACGTAGTGATGGGTCAACTGGAGAATTACATGGGAAAATATATGTGATTGGTGGATTTGATGGTCGATATTATCACGATTCAGTGGAATATTATGAACCGTTGACGGATCAATGGACCTTAATAAATCGAATGAATTCACCGAGAGGTGGTGTATCACTTATTCAACATGGTGATTACTTATATGCTATTGGTGGAAACAATGGAAATGATCGTTTGAAATCCATTCAACGATATGATCCGAAAGAAAATAAATGGGAAATAATTGGAGAAATGAGTCGAAGTAGGAGTAATTCAGCGAATACAGTTATCGAAAATTATATATATAATTTTAGTTATTTTCGAGTGGGTTTGGGACAAATAACGTTGCCAGAAACTGCTGTAACTGGCGGATCCCGAAAATTGATTCTGATACATGTGCTATACACTAACCCTCACCCCAAATGACTACTTGAGCGAGAACACAAGACTGAACGAGAAAGTATATTGGACTACAGAATAAAATAAACAAATACTCATTTATACATGTACAACTCTACCCCCCTTGGGAATTTAATCCATTTCTTAGCCAATTAAATGCACTTGTCATTCAGATCAATTCTGATTGCTATCGATTGACCTTCCCTATTCGGCTACTTCTGATTGACTTACCGTATCAACCATCGTCACGGGAAAGGTATGAACAATCAAGACAGTATGTACATCATGGTCTGTACAGATAGAGATACACAAAAACATATCATGATAAAATAACAAGGATGTATACATATATGTATATAAATAAAAAGAATTCGGAGAAAAGAAAAACAAAGAAAGATTCATCTATGAAGTATCAGTGCTATCGTCTTCATCAACATCTGATTGTTGAGAATAACCTTTTTTTCGAGGCTGTGAAGCATGTTTATATTTTAATTGTTTCAAATGTGCCAGTTGTTGTTGGCTTTGTATAGTATGATGATAATGTGTAAATTGTGATGAAGTTGGTATATTTTGTAAATGTGTCACTAATTGTATATCCTTGGTCATAACTGTTACACGTCTTGCATGTATTGCACATCGTTGTGCGCATTCGAATAAATGAACAATAAATGCTTCTGCAGCTTCTTGTAATGCCAAAAAACAGACAGCTTGCCAATTAAATGATAAATAGCTCGGACCAAGTGTACGAACAGTGATAGAACGTACTAAACGTGCAAATGGTAACTTCCTGCTCATTAAAATAGAAAAAATCACACATACATATATATGACACAATGGTGTATGTAAGAATGAATTATAAAAGTTATAATAGTCAGATATTAGGATGCAAAATGATGATGTAACTCACCGAGTACAGAAATTTGTAATTGACTTTGACTTATATTTTAATATGTGTGAAGGTCAGTGATTACTACTACTTGACTATTGTTCAAGTCGAAGTAGGTGGAGAGGAACTTGAACCATGTTTGCCTGGTGTTTGAAAGTCGAACACATTAATTGGTAAGCCACTGCTTTACTTACATTTGCTAGAAAATTTTTAGTATGATTTCCAACAAAACTAGACACTAAGGAAACTCTTTACGACTTGAAAACCATCACTTAATCCTTTGGAGTAACTGTACAGGTATCAAGAGATCTATTGAAGAAAAACGACAGTTTCGTAGTTAAAGGAAACGTTATATAATCATTATGCAGTGAATCGAATCCCGAATTCATCTACTTGTACTTTAAGTGACCAAACAGCATTACCAGTCTCTCTCAAAATGAGTTATAATTAAAAGTCAAGTACATAAACCTGTACAATCACACGGTAGATGATTGTTTTTTACTTTATATCCGATTAATCTTACACTAATTGTATAGTAAAGCTGATTTATATTAGGCGACCAATATTTCCTATGGACGGGGATCTGACTAGTCAATTAGCTAGAATAAAACTGTTTGCAATCAAACTACAAACGTAATTTTCAAAGTTAAAACGAACAGTAGTTTACGAGACACAGAAATATTGTATTCTATTGGAATATCCCACTTGTATATGAATTCTTGAGATCTAAATCTGTAGTTTACTTGATAAGAATGATGAAAGTCTGTTGTTAAATCTGTAAGTATTCAAGACACAACAACTGACTACTGGACAACAATGTGTGTTTAACCACCGCCTACCGCGACAAATGATTCTGGCTAGTGCGGCAGTAAATCGGAAGAAATTTAAGGATGGGCAAACTGAAATGTGATATCAGTCCATGAAATCATTGACTGTTGGTGCGAGCCATGCTATTAGATACAGACTACATAGTTAGAGATCCAAAGTCTCCGACCGTTTATTACGATAATTAAGTAGTCTGAGTCTACCAACACGATCCAGTTCAATAGTCAACGACTTGATGAACTGATGTCTTTGTGTGACCACCACTACCTTTTTTCAACCTAGACCTAAGCAACCCATCACCGCGTGTCAAGATAGGTAGTGATTAGGCGGACCTATCACATGTCACAGTCACTTAAATCGATGAAAATTCACTAGCTCTTCAATAAATTTGTTTAGTACCCTACGTCACACTATAACACAGGCATTTCTGGTCAAATACTCTTATATGTTCCATGATGTTAAAGGTTATGTAGTAAATTCACAAAGTAAAAATGAAAACTGTTGTGGATTTTACTTGACTTCTGCTTGAAAATGGATACGTTGTCTAAATCCCTAATGATAGAAGTTGAGAAACTTAGTCACTTATATTATACCTAAAGACTGTTATTATATATATATATATATATATATATATATATTCTTAATGTATAACTGTTAAGTAACTAGATTATACATATATTTATAATCCTTTTATCATAAGCTTTTATTTAACCTATTGACTACTATCATACGATTTACTATACTTAAGTTATTCCCAATTTATTAGTTAGTCTCTCACAATTACAGTCACTTTTTGATCTTGTACAAACGTTATTTTCTATTTTATGATATGATGTGGTCTGGTTTGCTTGTATATAAACCCAGTATGTCTGAAATATATGATTCATCTAGTGGAAACTGATATTGGTGTTCTGGACTCAACAGACAGAGCTAGGCAAGAAAGACTATTAAGGACTCTAGACTTTTAGTACCGGTCAACACATCATTGGCTTGACACAGTGTTAGGATTGTAGAAGCCATGTTTTGATTAGCGATCTTATCACGTAAGAATTAACAGGTTACACAAGTTATAACAACTTACCTTAAAAGAAGATTTGTACTACGCTGAAAAGCTCTTATTTCTCTTAAAGCGATTTCACAGGAGCAGCTCTTCTCTTCGGCCTAATTTGATTATCATTTGAAGCACTTCCTGTTGTTTTACTTGACTGTTGTGTTTGAACTAACTGTCTATTTCGACCGGAGCTCTGAGACTGTCGATTTCGAATAGGTGAAACACGACGATTACTCGGTTTAGATGTTTCTTTACGATTCACATACATCCAGTTGTTTTGACGAGATTTATTTCCAGCTTTGTTAGTTTTTGATAGTGAAAAAAATATATATAACAGAAATGAAGTTATCAAAGGTAGTGACAAAATATCAGTCAAGATAAAAATACATTTTAGCTATAAAAAGTAGCATAGCTATGTTACCAAATATAATAGCATAATCTTATTCAAAGTTGATTTGAAACATGATAGTCATTTATCAATAAAGTAATCAGAAGAATCTTAAACACGAAATAAAAATTAAGTACATCTGTAGAGAATAATGAGAAAAAGATGATTTTTAAAATCTCAGCTATAATATATTCCAGGAAAGACTTTTTATTCGATTGAACTTAAACTGTCTTTTGTTTTCTGGTTGACAGCTGGTTTGAGGATGTGTTGAGAATAGAGTGAGGCTTTGGATCACTACTATATAAATATATATGTTCAGTTAGTAATGTGGAGAAAGTTATATCGACTGCAAAAAGTGTACTCTTTTCGAACGCACCTCCAAGCATTGTCAAGCAAATACAGCATGAATGTAATATAATAAAGACATATTTTCAAACATTTCGTTAACTCAGGCTAATTAGACTCATCAGACGTTGATTGTCAAATCATCTTTAAGGTTAAATAAACTAGCACAAAGGGGACACAAATCACGAAGTCATATACAAAAAAGGCTTTGTCGATTCATAACTGATCTGTGTTGACAAACGATCTGTTCAATCTCTTATTGAACTGTAGTTCCAACATCTTTAATTTTTAATTATTGATACCCGTGATATTTATATTTTTTCACTTAACTGTTTTTCATTGTCCTTTAAACTATTTCATAAATTGTTTCTGGTACTTATAATTTTTAATCATTCTGTTAATGGAGCATACATTGCTACCAAATACCCTGGTACAGCCGCTCTCCCTCTCAAAATGCTTTCACGTGGCCACGTGTACATGGCCTCTGCCAGGTAAGTTTTACTCACTGCCTTCTCGTGGTGGTCAGTCAGTCAGTCAGTCAGTAACAACGTAGAACTTCGTACGTATGTACATCAGTTCGAGTTTCCACACCACATTAGCACAGAGATGCAGTGGTCGATTCAAATCCCGTAGTGCTAGATGTAGTAAAATTATAAGCTGTAATCAGAAAAGTTAGAGTTTGAAGATGTTATTCAAGGAGTATAATGCAGTGAAATAAATTCGGAAAGAGAAAAAAGAATGAAACATGAAGAAGTCAGAAGATTAGAATTTGAGAGAACACAAAGAGTGGATGCACCTGCGCCATTGCAAACGATTTTGAGCCATGTCATTCAGGGTCTCTAACCATCGGTTGCTATCATCTCGCGGTCCCCAACCAGGTAGTCTACACCTACCAACATGACTCAGTCCACTTGTCAGTGACTTCATGGACTTGTGCCATGTTTTGGTCTGGCCGCCCCTAGCTTTCTTCCAACCTACTCCTATACCACTGAACAGCACGTCGAGGCAGTCGGTCGTTGGGCATACGTAACACGTGTCCCAGCCATCTCAACTGATGAAGTTTCACTACGTCATCAATTGATTTGCCATCCTTACCTAGTACCCGTTTCCTAACAACTGTGTTACTTACTCGATGGTCCCATGATATACGAGCAATGTTTCGAAGACACCTATGATCAAATACTAGTAACCTACGAATATCCTCTACTCTTACCGGCCATGTTTCACTGCCATAAAGTAGGACGGAACGAACTGCTGCGCAGTAAACACGTCCTTTGGTTGATAGACGGATATCTCGCCTACGCCATAAATGACGCAAGTTGGCAAAAGCTAGTCGAGCCTTCTGTATCCGTGCTGAGATTTCGTCACACACCAACCACAAGGGCTGATGAGACTTCCAAGATAAGTGAAGCGGTCGACACACTCAACTACTTCACTCCCTATCACTAGTTCGGGTGTCGATGTAACCCAATCCTGAAGCAACATTTTGCATTTCGAGGGGAGAATCGCATCCCGAACATGCTTGCATTGTTGCTTAGAGTGGTCAGAAGACTCTGCATTTTGTCAGCGTCTTCACCAAATAAAACTATGTCATCAGCATATTCTAAGTCAACAAGTGAACCTCCCGGTAGAAGTTCAACCCCTGGAAATTTAGATGAGGAGAGTGTTATCTCTAAAAGTACGTCGACAAAGTTGAACAAGAATGGGGAGAGTGGACAGCCCTGACGAACACCACTTGAGGTAATCAATTCTGATGACAGTTCGCCATAAGCTCTCACTCGACCAGTTGTGTTCGAGTAGAGAGCCTTTATAAGGTTAATGTACTTCTTTGGTACTCCTTTCAGTGACAAACACTGCCATAGAACCTCACGATCAACAGAGTCGAATGCCGCCTTAAGGTCGAGAAATACTACCATTGTGGGGCGTCTGAATGTGTGTCTGTGTTCTAGAACCTGACGTAGTGTGAATATCTGATCTATACAACCACGTCCAGGTCGAAAACCAGCCTGGTTTTCTCTAGTCTGCTCTTCACGAGCTTTGTTAGGCGTCGAAGTATTATTGAAGCTAATATTTTAGACACTATATTAGTCAAACTGATTCCTCTGTGATTGTCACAAGAGGACTTTTGTCCTTTCTTATAGACTGGCACAATCAGTGATTGAGACCAGTCAGATGGGATTACGTCCAGTTCCCAAATTCTACCTAAGACCTCAGTTAATCTCATTGCTAATACTGGACCACCATCCTTAAAAATCTCAGGAGTAAACCTGTCAGGGCCTGCTGCTCTCCCTCGTTTCAGATTTCCTATGGCTTTTTCAACTTCGTAAAGGGACGGAGGACCTACATTAACTTGCCATTCAGGTTGACTAGAGATCGTGGGAAACCGAAGTGTGGCTGAAGGCCAGTTGAACTGATCCCTAAAGTGTTCTGCCCATCGATCCAATCTCCTGGATTGAGAATGAATAATATGTCCATCTTTCTCTGAGATTGTTTCGCTAACGGTCGGGTTCCTAATTCCGGTTTCCTTAACGAGTCTGAACAATTGTCTGCTATTACCTATTGCCGCTGCCTTTTCCATCTCTCTTGCTTTCGCTACCCACCACTGTTCGCGATCATTGCGTAGACTTCTTGTCAGCTTGCGCTTAAGCTGACTCCGCTCTTCATTATGTTCAGAGCCAGGTGGAATGAGTTTCCGAGCATCTATCAGTGCGATAGATGCTGCTGAGATCCAGTGTTGCTCCCTAACCTTCTGGTTTACCTTACTAGCAGATATCACTGCTGTTTCCACAGCTTTTCGGATATCATTCCATGCTGCATCGGGGTGGGCATCACATACATGGCTGCCTAACTGTTTTCCTAGTTGTTCCTGAAATATACTCTTAGCTTGACTATCATTAAGTAGGCCCTAAGAGGTTTCCTTGCAGCGTCTTTCCTACGTCCAGTAAGACGCAAGCAAATACGCGCTCGCACTAGAGCATGATCTGAATCTAGGCATGTGCTCCAGAATGAGCGACAGTCTTCTATCGAGCCCCTCCATCGGTGGCTGATAGCGATGTGATCTATTTGGGTCCAACGTTGGGACGAATTAGGGGGTCGCCATGTTAAAAGATGTTTTTCCTTATGCTTAAAGTTAGTATTTGCAAGGAACAGGCGGTTATCTGAGCATAGCTGCAACAGACGGTCGCCATTATCTGTTCTTTGAGCCACGACACCATAAGATCCACCTAGGTGTCTTTCCCTATCGCTTAGTTTACCTACTTGAGCATTAAAGTCACCGGCCACTATTACTACATCCGAGCGCTTAGCTTTTCGGAGAAGGTCCGAAAGCTTTCTGTAAAACTCATCTTTTACATCATCTGAGCTGCAGTCAGTGGGAGAATAGGCAGAGACGACGAAGAGGCAACGACGAGTGTCCCTATCTTTCCGGATTCTTACTGTTCCGTTCAGTCGGACAGCGCACAAACGACTGTCTACTGGGATCCACTCTAAGAGAGCTAGTTCTGCCCTAGGACTCAATGCTATACCTACGCCGGCGAGGCCACGGGAAGCAGAATCAGGGCTTCCAGATACACGAAGCGTAAATCGAGTCGGTTCTTTATTTTGGCATGGTGAGGTCAAATGAATGACGCTACTTGGATCCTGTATGCGCGTTTCGGAGACGCAGCACACATCGATGGCGCGAGATTCTAAAGTTTTAGCTAAGGAAGCCTGCTGTCCTATTTGGCAAAGTGTTCGTACGTTAAAAGCTCCTACGTGTAGTTTAGAGCGTGGTTTCAGGAGACCAGGAATGGCGTTCCACGTACTCGAATCGTTTGCCCTAGCGGTGCGAGGTGATAAAGAGACGTGAGGAGGGTTAGTCATGGAGATAAGAGAGGTATTAGGAGGTGTAGGAAGGATTTGAATGTGACCACCTTGGTCTCTTGTGCTGTTACGGGTATGAGGGCTGATGTCACTTCCCGGCTGCCCACACCGTGGAAGGGTATTTCTTGAGGAACCTGAAAAGGAAATTGGATTAGTGTTGGTCTTGACGACCTGGGAGCGTGACCGCAGAGCCCAAGGGACAACTGCTTGAGGCCGGTCGCGCACGGCCTTTTTGTGGAAGGTTTTTGACGTGTTAGCTCCGTTCTTCAAAGGGCCTTACCGCCGGAGACGGAAATCCGTGAGGTAAGGTGAGGTGTGACATTTTTAGGGTCGACCTTTTCTAACCCCACCCCTCCTTGTGGGAAGGCAGCATCGCTGTCATGCTGGTTGTCCGAAGGAAACACCTTACTGCTGTCACACCCTCTACAGTCAGCAGTACGACTTCGCCCTCAGACCTTGAGTTGCTGCTTTTAGTCTTACCGTTCACCAATCGACCTGCCTGGCATGGTAGAACCTACAGGAACATATGTTCCAGCCAATATAGCTCGGTTGGGTCATCACGATAGGCAAGCCCGACCACCGCGTCAAGGTAGCAGCTTCGATCGGGTTCTCGTGGTGGGGGGTGTTGTTGACGAAATTGACAGGAAGAAGAATGAATACCAGGCGATTTAACCGAGTCGGTGGACACGGAGAGTCCACCTAAAAGAGTTGAAAACCCTGATTCCAACCAGTGGTGGACATGGGCTCCAGTATCCTGAAAGAACAAATGGCGTATGAACCTATTGTTGGTCACCGGCTACCATGGGACCGCATCTCCTTACGATGCTCCACTGCCTTGTGGGTTAGACCTTTAGGTCAAAGGCTCAGGGTGTGGCCCTCGAGGAAAACCACCTGCTTCGGTCTCGGCACCCCGGCAGTATCACAGTCCTCACACATATCGAATGAGATCTGTGTGGCGTATATGTATCTGGTGCCCCCTTGTACCAATATTTGTGTTCAAATAAATATGGAGCGTAACTTAATTATTTTGTTATAAACTACTGTATTAAATAACTATAAATACGATTGTATGACATTAACAAATGATATTGTTGGAAAGAATATTTTCTTTATCAAACTAAGGCGAGACTATAATTTATGGATGAATCAATCACGTATAAGATAAGAGGTCTTGGATTTTGGCACGAAATTCCCTCATCCATTTGGATGAATAAAGTTTTGGCATTATAGCTAATGTCAATTCATGATAAAAACCCTAAATCTAATTCCTAACCTTAACCGTCAACTGTAAATCATAATTCGAATTCCTCACACAGGTTTATAACCCTCATTCGGTACTAATTATCAGGCGAACATTCTCAAGGTCATTTTGGTATCGCTTAAAAGTCGTCCATGAACTATAATCACACCCAAACTAACTCTCTTAATTTTATTACCTTGCGATAGAGAAAATATATATTCATCTCCTTTGATAGAAAAACAGTATGCCTATAGTCAATGACTGTGATTGAAATATAGCTGATATTTTTAGTGAGACATTGAGAAAAATAGTATTTATTTAACATCATAATAGTATCAGTGGAGTTAATCCAACAACAAATATAACTATCCTAATCTTTTACACACTAAATAAATCAATAAATAAGACTCAATATAAGTTAGTATCACTCCAGATAAAAAAAAGACTGTTTTAGTATCTACGTGGATGATTCATTAAGATGTAGGAAACCTTTGATCTATATACTTTGAATTACTCGAAACTAAGCGGTCCAGTGCTTCCAGGTTTTCAATTGTGGTGGTCTAACATCAATCGGTTCATGACCTCAATCAAAAACTTAATAATCTCCGCAACCCCTATACTGGTAATACTTATTAGTTAGCTTCGAAACAAACTATCACCGACTGTTGAGGTACGTGATTGATCATATAAACTTTTAGTTTATTCAAGTGAATTAACAGGATGTATGTCTACAGATAACATGCAACGAAACGATATGACCGAGTGATAACTGCTTGGGAGACCAAATAACCTTAAATTATTCTAAGACCAATGACAAGACTATTGGTCACCAGACTAGGTTTCTATTTAGTTTACATACGAAAATAAATATGATTAGATAACATTTGGTAAATAAGCAATTAGATTATAGGAGCTTCATGAATAACTTACTAGCCTACGAATTAAAGTTCCGACCTATAAGGTTTACTTTGTGAACCCATCATATTGCATACTGAAAATAAACCACATTATAAACTCCTATGGTAGCCTCATAAAACTAGGACCACATAATGGCTGGTTGAACCACACATAGTTATGCTCTCCAAGCTGGTCATAGTTTTGAATATTATTACAAAAGAGATTATGTAAATTGTCTAGTGAGGAATTACATAAAATGCATAAACACTTGAAACGAAACAGTCGACTTATTAGGTAGACTCTTGGCTTTTTTTATTACATTTTGGTTTTATAGAGATCTTCTTTTATTATTCTGATGTAGAATGAAAGGTTATCACATATATATTTAGCCATCTTGTACATAATAATATCAACCAAACTTAACAAGACAATTGAAAGAAGTTCACAAAATTTAGTAAAACACTTGCATAGTTTTAAAATACAAAGAGAAATATCAAACATTATCGGTGAACTTAACTACTCAACTTTTGAAATATGCTAATCCTGAAAGTCATTTCGTTTGCTGAAAAATATAAATGATGATTTATTATCCTTACTCTATAAATTTTATCTATTAATTGTTATTATATGCTGAAAACTAATCTTCAAACGAGCCAGTGACTTAAATCATAATGACTATCAAAATATGAAGAAAAACGGTTAAGAAATGACCTGTAAATATAGTAATTTTAAAAGTCGATAAGCGTGACAATCGTGTATGATTTTAATTTATCACAACGAACAGTTTATCATCACTACCTGCTCCTTACGAAGAAAAAATTAAAAAACGATGTGGACAAGTCTGTAATAACTATCAAAATTAGAAAATTATGCCTGAACTACATACTTGCAATAACTCGTTGAGGTTGAGAAAGTTGTTTATTTACAGAGCGGCGAGATGAACTAACATTTGTGTTTACATCTGACTGTCCATCGAGAGGAGCTGCTTGATTTGAAACGCTAAAATAAATACACAAATAATAAATGATGATTATATATATGAGAGACTAACAGAAAGTGAATCTACGACTTCTTATTTATTCAGTTATCTATTTGAACACAAATATTGGTACAAAGGAGCACCAAACACATATGCGCCACACAAATCGCATGATTTGTGTGAGAGCTGAGATACTGCTCCTCCCGGGCATTGGGAACTTGTTTAAATTTAGTGTAGGAATCCCCAAATGTCTTAGTACGGCCGAGAGTGGGGAGAGTCAGTTCTCCCTCCTCAAATGTTCTTACATTGCCACGTGCATACAACCACTGCCAAGGAAGTCCTACTCACTGCCCTCTTGCGGCTTTACTGTTGTTTACGAAATTCAGAGGACAAAAAGCGAGTACCCGGTGCTTTAGCCGTGTTCTTGGATTTGGAGGATCCACCAAGGGGAGTCGGAAAACCCTGATTCCAAACCAATGGTGCACATGGGCTTCAAGATCCTGAAGGAACAACTGGCGTATGAACCAGTGTTGGTCACTCATCAAGCCATTTTACACTGTCTACCGTTGTCGCTACCTTGACGTGGTGGTCGGGCTTGCCTCTCGTGATGAATCAACGAGCTATCCTCGCGGGAACAATCGTTCTTCAATGTCCTACCATGCCAGGCAGGTCGGTTGAAGAACGGTAGGGCTAAAAACAGGAAACTCAAGGTTTGAAGGCGATATCCTACTGCTGACTGTACAGAGTTGTGACGGCAGTAAGGTGTTTCCTTCAGACAACCAGCAGAGCAGCGATATTGCCTCCCACGGATATCCGTCTCCGGCAGTAAAGTCTTAACAAGTACAGAGCTAACGCGAAAATTACTGACAAAAAGGTTGTGTGTAACTAACCTCAAGCAGTTGTCCCCTGGGTACTGCGGTCAAGCTCTCAGGTCACTAAGACCACCTCTAATCCAATTTCCTTTTCAGGCACCTCCAGAAGAACCCTTCCACAGTGTGGACAACCGGGAAGTGATAACCGCCCTCGTACCTCTAACAGCACTCAATACCACTGTATTCATAATCAATCTCCCTCATCAATTCCTATTATTCCCGCTATGTCGACTTTCAACACCAAACCTACGTTTTTGGCTTCCTCCTCACGTGTCACCATAGCCAACGATTCTAGTGCTCAAAACACTGTCCCAGGTGTACTGAAACTTCGCTCCAAACTACATATTAGAGCCTTTGACGTACGAATCCTGTGTCAAATAGGCCAGCAGGCCTCCTTGGCTAAAACCCTAGAATCTCGTACCATTAGTGTATGCTGTCCCCAAAACACCCATACAGGGTCCTAGTGTGGTGGTGATCGTCTGCTGCAATTGTGCTCACACAATCGTTTATTTTTAACAAACACTAATTTTAAGCATAAAGAGAGACATCATCTAACATGGTGATCCTCTGCACCAAACCAACGATGGACTAACATAGACCATATTGCCATCAGTCATCGTTGGTGAGGGTCGATAGAAGATTGTCACTCATTCTGGGATACCTGATTGAACTCTTACTATGCTTCAATACGGGCACGCAGCTGTTTGCGCCTCACTGGACGCAGAAAAGCCATACTAAGAAAACCCTTGAGAATTTAATTGAGTGATGAAAAAGGCGAAAATAGATTCCAGGAACAACTGAGGTCACACTTGGGCAGTTCTAAAAACGAGGCTGACCCAGATGTTGCTTGGAAAGATATACAAACAACAGTGACATCCATTATTGATTTAGACCAAATGGTTACAGAAAAGTCTATTGCACTGATAGATTCTCGTAAACTCATCCCATCAAACTATGAACACGATGAAGAGCGAAAACAAATCAGATCTACGTTAACCAAAAGTCTAAGGAACGACCGTGAGCAGCGGTCGGCAACGAAAGCAAAAGAGATGAAAAAAGCGGCAGTTGTAGGTAGTACAAAACAGCTCTTCGGACTAATAAAAAAACTGGAATTACTAAGTCATGTGTGAGTGAGACTATCTCGGGAAAAGACGACACTTATATGCTCCCAGTCCAGACGTTTAGAACGGTGAGTGGAACACTTTAGGGAGCAGTTCAGCTGGCCTTTAGCTATTCTACATCTACTCACCATTCCCAGACAGCGCGAATGGAACACTGAAGTAGGTCCCCCAACTCTAGCTGCGATTCCAAAGGCTATAGGTAATGAGGAAAAGAGCAGCTGGTCTAAATGGATTGGCTCCAGAGGTATTTAAGTATGGTGGTCTAGTTTTAGCGATTAGGTTGACTAATATTTTAGCTAAGATCTGGGGGCTGGACGTAATCCCATCTGACTGCTTCGGTTTGGGCACCCGGGCAGTATCACAGCCCTCACACATATCGAATGGGATTTGTGTGGCGCATATGTATTTGGTGCCTCCTTGTACCAATGTCTATGTGTTAAAATAAATAAATAAATAGTCCCAATATATAAGAGAGGGTCAAAATCATCCTGTGGCAACCATTGAGGGATTTGTTTGGCTAACATAACATCTAAAATAGTGGCCTCAATAATTATCGGACGCCTAACTAAGACTCGTGAACTGCAAACACGAGAAAATCAGACCGCAACCAAGTAGTCTGCATCTACTAACATGGCTCAGATCAGAAGTTAGTGACTTCAAGCACTGACGCCACGTTTTGGTTTGGCCGCACCTAACTTTCTTCCAATCATCTCCAACACTAGTCATTATTGAGCGTCATGGTAGTCGATGGTTGGACATACGTACAACGTGACCCAACCATCTCAGTAGATGAAGATTCGCAACCTCATCAACGGATTTACCACCATTCTCTAATACCATGCGTTCAACCTCACTATAACTGGTCGAGTGAGAGCTTATGGCGAACTGTCATCAAAATTGATTACCTCAAGTGGTGTTCGTCAGGGCTGTCCACTCTCCCCTTTCTTGTTCAACTTTGTCATTGACGTACTTTTAGAGATAACACTCTCCTCATCTAAATTTCCAGGGGTTGAACTTCTACCGGGAGGTTCACTTGTTGACTTAGAATATGCAGATGGCATAGTTTTATTTGGTGAAAACGCTGACAAAATGCAGTCTTCTGACAACTCTAAGCAACAATGCAAGCATGTTCGAGATGCGATTCTCCCACTCGAAATGCAATATGTTGCTTCAGGATTGGGTTGCATTGACACCAGAACTAATGATAGGGAGTGAAGTAATTGAGCCTGTCGATCGCTTCACTTATCTTGGAAGTCTCATCAGCCCTTGTGGTCTGGTGTGTGACGAAGTCTCAGCACGGATACAGAAGGCTCAACTAGCTTTTGCCAACTTGCGTCACTTATGGAGTAGGCGAGATATCCGTCTATCAACCAAAGGACGTGTTTACTGCGCAGCAGTTTGTTCCGTCCTACTTTATGGCAGTGAAACATGGCCGGTAAGAGTAGAGGATATTCGTAGGTTACTAGTATTCAATCATAGGTGTCTTCGAAACATTGCTCGTATATCATGGGACCATCGAGTAAGTAACACAGTTGTTGGGAAACGGGTACTAGGTAAGGATGGCAAATCAATTGATGACGTAGTGAAACTTCATCAGTTGAGATGGCTGAGACACCTGTTACGCATGCCCAACGACCGACTGCCGCGACGTGTGTTCAATGGTATAGGAGTAGGTTGGAAGAAAGCTAGGGGCGGCCAGACCAAAACATGGCACAAATAAATGAAGTCACTGAAAAGTGGACTGAGTCATGTTGGTAGGTGTAGAATATCTGGTTGGGGACCGCGAGATGATAGCAACCGATGGTTAGAGACCCTGAATGACATGGCTCGAAATCGTTTGCAATGGCGCAAGTGCATCCACTCTTTGTGTTCTCTCAAATTCTAATCTTCTGACTTCTTCATGTTTCATTCTTTTTTCTCTTTCCGAATTTATTTCACTGCATTATACTCCTTGAATAACATCTTCAAACTCTAACTTTTCTGATTACAGCTTATAATTTTACTACATCTAGCACTACGGGATTTGAATCGACCACTGCATCTCTGTGCTAATGTGGTGTGGAAACTCGAACTGATGTACATACGTACGAAGTTCTACGTTGTTACTGACTGACTGACTGATTACTTACCCGATGATCCCAGCAGATGCGAGCAATATTTCTAAGGCATCTGTGATCAAATACTAGTAACCTACGAGTATCTTCAACTCTTAGTGGCCACGTTTCGCAGCCGTAAAGTATAACAGAATGAACTGCAGTACAGTATACTCGTTCCTTAATTGGTAGACGGATAACTCGCTTTCGCCATAGGCGACGTGAGTTGACAAAAACCAAACGAGCTTTTCGAATCCGTGCAGAGATTTCATCAGACACCAACCCATTAGGGCTGACCAGACTTCCAAGATAAGTGGATTTGTCAACGCGTTCGACTACTTTACTCTCTAACCGTAGTTTAGGTGTTGAAGCAGGCCAGTCCTGAAGCAAGAACTTGCATTAAAGGAGAAGCGCATCCCAAACATCCTGGCATTGTTCATTGGTACGAGGCACCAAATATATATGAGCCGCACTTCGTCATTTGATTTGAGCGCTGGAATAATCCCGAATCGAAGTAGGTGGTTTTATTAGGGGCTCACTACTTCCCGAACATTTGACCTAGAGGTCCAAAACATAAGGTAGTGGACCATCGTAAGGAGATGTAATTCCAACTTAGCCGGTGTGCAACAATAGGTTCATATGCCATTTGTTCCTTCATGATCCTTGAGCCCATGTGCACCGTTGGTTTGGAATCAGGGTTTTTCAACTCCCCTAGGCGGATTCTCCGTATCTACCGACCTGGCTAAAGCGATGAATACTCACTTTCCGTCCTCTTAATCATGTAAAAACACCCCTATCGCCAGAAGGCAATGAGTAGGACTCCCCTGATAGTGGCTGTTTACGTGTGGTCATGTGAAATCGTTTTGAGGAGAGCTGATTGTCCCATTATCGGCCGTACCAGAGCGTTTGAGGGTTCCTTCACCAAACAGGACTATGTCATTCGAGTATTCTAAGTCAATGAATAGACCTCCTGGTGGGAAGTCGATCCCCATAAGTTCAGACGGTGAGAACGTTATTTCCAGCAGTAGACCCATGATCAAACTGAATAGAGGTGGATATGGTGAGCAGCTTTGTCGATACTTGAAGTTGCGAAATCAGATGACAATGTGCCATAAGCTCTGACTCGACTGGTAGTGTTCGAGTAAAGAGCCCTTACAAGGTTTACGTACTTCTGGAGTACGCCTTTCGATGAGAGACAAGGCCACAGAACCTCTCGGTCTACAGATTCAAATGCTGCTTCAACTTCAAAAAAACATCACTGTCAGACGCCGTGTTTTCTCATTGACATAATCAGTTTATTTAGGCGTTTAGGAGGTAAGAGCTGTTAGCTGAATCAGACCACATTACTTAAATTAGTTGAAGTGATTTACTATCGATTAAAGAACATCTGGTTCAAACACTGACCCAATAAATCACATGTGAATGGAAGGGGTAGTGTGTCTGAAGGTTGAGTGAAAAAACTTGTGCTTATTAAATGAGTTCCTTTACTTTATTTTCTTGATACACAGTGCTCTGTACCATAATGATGTGATAGGTAAAGACAACGAATTCTTTGAAACCTAGAGTACGACAGTTTTCGGCATATTTGATAATTTAGTTAGCATTTGGATTCAGGACGAAATACATCGTATTATAAACTCATTAGACAGAAGTACCTGTATTTCGTGTTGAGGTTTATATTGAGATTCCAACTCAGTACTTCTTATTTCAAACACCAACTCGTCATTCACTGAGCTAACGTCCACATGGTCAATGACTTACTCCCCGGTCATGAAGTTGTTGGTAAGGGTCCACAATATCTTATAGTTCACACCTAGGATTGCAGTTGAGCAGTTTATTTTGTGATTTGTGTATCTCTAGTGGGTTATCTTAACATAGATTTAGTTACGATATTCTAGTATATCTGATATCTGATCAACAGTAGTCCTGAATATCAACAACAAGAAGTTAAACTCACCATAGTACACTAATTTCAGAACTTTATGACAACCCGAATTTAGTCGCTTTCCCCTTCCTAAAAAACACGTAACTTCTATAACTCCAGCAACTGGTTAGCAATAGGATCACCGAGTACTTTATTGTGGTTGATAACTTAGCTTGAATACGGTAGGAAATCAAACACTTGGCGAATTTATAAAATAAGTACTGAAAATCGACAACTTTACTCGTCGTATGATGCGATGATAGAAACAAAACGCAAGACAAAACCAGGTGCTTTGTATGATACATTTATTGCCTTATTAAACTAAAGCCAAACACTTAACATGCAGAGACAAGGCTAATTCAAAGTGGAGTATCTTGCCCTTAAAATGTACTACAACAACCGCCTGAAAACTGGATTTTAATAATTTCAAAACATTGGGCAGATGGTTTCGTCAAAAAGTGGCTATACCTGTAACCGTAGAAATTTTTAGATGTAGATAGGGAAAAAACTTACAGTTACTTTTGTGAAAAGTGCTTTCTTCAGACAGTAACTTGAGTTGTCAGACACATGTCTGCATTACTACTAAATGGAAAGATTATGGGCAAAAACGTCGTTTCTACTCAGAACAAACTGAAATTAACACAGTGAATTAAAGACTTAACTGTGGAAAAAGCGATGATAGATACGTTACCCTAAAAAATTTTGGAGCCAGATGAAGGCAGATAAAGAATGGTAGCGCTGGAAAAACCTGTACATTGCTGTACTATAAAGTCATCTATACACATATTACAGAACCTAATTTAATATGTTGAAGCTATGTGAACTAGACAGCAGAAAATTGTCGAGAAATTTACACTCATTAACATGAGACTACTTACTTTATTTGTTCTATGACTAGTCTTGCTTTTTTACTACCGCCCCCAGCCAGTGGAATATGAGGTGTTGCAAAATTTGTTTGTCTGGTACTTCGTTTTTTATAGTTTTTCGGCGTACTTTCGTACACCGGGCCACTCAGATCGCCCATCACCAAAAAACAAAGTCAACTAGCCGCCTTGGGTCATTTGTGTTCGTAGTTGAATCCGTTAAACACAATCCTTCAAGTGAACAATAAATCCTATGATTTTACAATAAGATTATATCGAGAAACCAATTTTTCGCATAACCATCTTAATTTTATAGTAAAGCTTTCGGTACATAGCAGCATTTAGTGATGTTAGTTATAGAAGTCAAGTGTGATGGTATGATATTTTCAGTTTCAGTTTTAATCCAGATTTCAAATTTGTGTAGTAAGGGCGGAAGGTTTACAGCCTATAATATTCCTTATCTAGTATGCTTTTGTGGGTGTCTAGTATTTTCTGGAATGAGCTAAGTGGAGGTGCGGACATCACTGCTTTGGGTAACAGATTCCAGTTATTGAAAACTCCGTGTGAAAATCTGAATACCACGAGTATTTTGTTCGTTCTTGGCGTTTATATTCGCCCACTACGTCCTTCTAGACGCTCTGACCTAGTGGGAAGAAAAAAGAGCATGTACTAGGTCCAAAATTATTTCGTAGGGAATTATCAAGTCATTTTAGGAGGGGTCCGACAATACCAAGATTTCCTAATTTCATTTGCAGTCTATTAGTTCTTACCTTGTCAAATGCTCTACTGGAGTCTATTTAGACGGCTTTCACTAATTTTCCTTCGTCTGGGGCATTTATCCATTGCTTCCCTGATATAAGGAGGTTTGTAGTGCAAGATAAACCTTTCCTAAAACCAAGTTGTTCGCTATTTTACAAGTTGTTGGTTTCCGCAAATGTCATTATGATCTTTTGAACTATTCCTTTCAACGTTTTAACTGCAACACTGGTGAGGCTGAAAGGTATGTAGTTTGATGAAATTTGTTTTGGTCCTGTTTTATGTATTGAAGTGCCAATTGCATTCTGCCAGTTCGTAGGTAACACACCCTAGCCAAGTGACTTATTGAATATCACAGTTAGTTTCTAAGTAAACGTCGAATATCCCGGTCTGTTTAGGGATGGCCGTGCTTCTCCTTCCTTAGGACTGTCCAGTTTGTATACGGTTGATTTACCTGATTGCATAACTGCCTAGAATGTGTCCGCGCCTCTTCAATTGATGCCTCTTAGTCTCTTATCCGCTTTTCAGCCGAGGCTAAACAGTTGATCGCTTCCATGTCTGACTTCCATATGTTTGGACGAACCGGTACAACTGTTTGACGGGCCACCTCAGACACAAATATGAGTAAGTTGACTGCATGATCACTTCACCTTAGAGGTGGGAGGAGAGCCATTTGACTGACATCAAGAGGGACGAGGAGCTTAGTAAGTCATATCTCCTGGGACCTCTAGTATACTGGAATAAAACTAATACAATTGTGCTTTCTAACAAATTGCAATCAATTGAAGTTTTTGACGATTCCATTTCTAAGTTTACCCCTATTAAACCAGGACTTAAGTTAACTTAGGAGGATCCAGTTGACTCAGATGGTTATAATTGGAGTGAAAGCTTTTTCTTAAGTGTCTTCTGTCCCTATTAGCCCTTAAGAACATAACAAGTCGATACTTTAAGAACTTCTATGAAATCGCTCAGACCAACTTAACCGGTAGCTAATTTCGAGACATGACAACTTGCAAGGAGTTGATATGCCGACAGTCCAGTTTACTGTGTGCTAGCCCCAACCTCTGGGCATTTCTATTAAGGCTAGTATTTTAACTGAGTTTAGGTATACATTTCGTCTCTCGCGAAATTTGAAAAAAGCGGCATTTTTCATGCGGTTTAGAAATTTTTCAACTTGTTCTTTTAAAGGCTGTATTATATTGAGGTCTTCGTCCTATCATATATATGTGGTATATTTCACCTCAACGAAATAATGTTCAAGGACGCTCACCAGTTAATATAAATTTTTTGCGGACTTCGTTAATTAGACATCGGCGCGTCTTTATCTTTGGATTATACTAAATGAAATATAAACACTTGACTGGACGTCACTCACCTATGTTATAACTTAACACCTTATATCTGAAATACATTATGTACTGACAATCTCTTATTCTAGCATTAACACGATTAATACTTAATAAGCAATATATACCCAAATATTCTACTTAGTTAAACGAGTTTTCAACACGACCAGCTTCAAATAACGACAGGTGACACTAGCAAAAGACAAATTACACCAACTTCTAAGCCAACCAAAATGTCAAATTTTGTAACCCTTATTTCTGATGATTCACCAACATTATCGTGACGTATATTCAATGATTTTTGTAAAGACAAAATAAAAACCGTATTTTCTCTCTAGTTTGTCACACTTTATATGTAACCACATTTTTATTCAATATCTGTTGTTTTTCTCTATTACTTGTTAATAACGATGATAATTGTTTCGATGATTAATGTACGACTTTACTACCGCGAGGTTTGAAAATATAAACCGCTATCTACACTGTTTGTTCTTCTGCTTTATTGACCACGGTTTTTGATTGAAGACTGTAATGGTGTTATAACATCCCTTTAGCCCCTCCGACACAACGTTGGAATTCTGGCACGGATTATTATATTATAATACTATTGGACGCAATCTTTCTCAATACGCCGTTGGTGCAGTCACTTGCAGAGGAACCTTCGTTAATCGAGTGAACTTATTTGTGGTTGTTATTCTCACGAGGCAGCCTCCAAGTAACATTCAATCTATAATAATTGTTATTTGTTTGTTTAATATACCATTTGTATCGTAACTATATTTTGTTACTCTTGGTTTTTACTCACAGACAGACACATAGGTTTTTTACTGTTAACTTTCTTGGTATATTATTATTAATCTAGCGTGTCGATATCTCTTGTTTAAGCTCCTTTTGTTGGGAACCATCGCAAATCTAGTGAGCCCGTAAATTTTTTTTCGAAACTAATTTTGAGTTCACTCACATACGTCACGGTGTTACTTTCCTCTTGGTAGTAATTGTTTTTTGTATATTTGTAATGTGCACTTCCAAAACTGAAGGCACGAGTCAGGACAACATTTCAACAGAGCTACACGCTCTAAACTTGATAAGTGTGACTCCATTCAGTCGATTAAACCTTCGCATTCGGTTTGCACAAGTGGAAGTACAGTCTCAACGTCGCAACATACGCTCACAGACATCCAAATACTCTTTCATGCTTGGACTACTGCCTACTGAAGTAGCATCTGAGGTATCGGATTTGATAGATAACATTCCTGCATCTAGTCCATATGATCAATTGAAGCAGGCCATTATCCAACGTACCTCACTATCAGATGAAAAGAGATTACAACAGTTACTGCACGAGCGTGAGTTAGGCGACAAGTCACCTTCCCAATTATTACGCCATATAAGACAATTGGCTGGACCTTGTAAAGTTGATGATGCTTTTCTCAAGGAAATTTGGCTACAACGTTTGTCAACAGTAGTTGGGCAAATCCTTTGTGCTTCTAGCCAACCCTTAGATTTAGAAAGTCTTGCTTGCATGGCTGATAAAATTTTAGAAGTTACACCTCGTACTACACCTTATGCACAGACAATATCAGAAACTTCCAACGACAAGCAAACTCCTACCATAGCATCGTTAACTACTGAGTTAGGCGAACTACGAGCACATCACGAACGAACTGTCGCCAGTCTTGAAAATAAACTAGATGCATTACAATTATTAATTTCCAATTTCACATCTCGAAGGCCTCGCTCCAGTTCTCGGAGGAGTAAGAATCGAGACATCTCAAAAGGAAATAAAATTGACGACCACATATGTTGGTACCATAGAAAATATGGTGACAATGCTAGGAAATATGTTACGTCTTGTAAATTTTTCAAGTCATTTTCCTCACCAAAACGTGTCAACCAAACCATGGTAGCGACAAATGTTTCTGGTCATGCGCCTACTCGTCTTTTCCACGTTCTTGATAAAACTTCAGGGTACAAATTCTTAGTAGATACTGGAGCTGAAGTCAGTGTCATCCCACTTACCTTAGCCAACAAACCCATTGCTAAGAGTGGAAAATATACTCTAAAGGCAGCTAATAAAACCGAAATAAAGACATTTGGCGAACAATCTCTGACATTAGACTTGGGAATTAGACGTCATTTAACCTGGGTGTTCATTATTGCTGATGTCCGTCACCCTATACTAGGTGCAGATTTTCTAAGCTTCTACAACTTACTAGTTGACGTTAAAAGAAGAAAACTTATCGATTCCTGCACGAACCTTCAAGTCCAGGGAATTCAGTCGGACTACCACATACATAGTATTAAAATTGACACTCCAGGAAACGACATATTCGCCACCATTTTATCTAAATTTCCCAAAATAACGAAACCAGACTACAGTGAAAACACTGTCCAACATTCTGTAGTACACCGGATCATCACAAAAGGTCAACCAACTTCGGCACGTCCACGCCGATTACCACCGGACAAACTGAATGTTGCAAAAGCTGAGTTTGATCATATGATGCAGCTAGGTATAATACGTCCGTCAAGTAGCCCCTGGGCATCCCCACTCCACATGGTGCCCAAGCGAGACCAAGATTGGCGACCTTGTGGTGATTATAGATCATTGAACAACCTAACATTACCGGATCGTTACCCAATCCCTCATTTACATGATTTTTCTCTCACTTTACATGGCAAGCAAATTTTTTCTAAAATCGATCTTGTGCGAGCGTACCACCAGATACCAGTAGCATCCGAGGATATAGCAAAAACAGCCATCATTACTCCATTTGGTTTGTTTGAATTCTAAGAATGCCTTTTGGATTAAAGAACGCCGCACAAACATTTCAACGATTTATGGATGAGGTCACTAAAGGCCTAGATTTTGTTTTCGTGTATATTGATGATGTCTTAATAGCTAGCAGTTCGCTCCATGAACACGCTGATCACCTACATCAATTATTCGAAAGATTTCAGAAATATGGCATAGTGATTAACCCATCCAAATGTATTTTCGGAGTTGAGAGTCTAGAGTTTTTAGGTCACTTGATCGACAAACGTGGAATTAAACCTTTGGATACAAAAATAGAAGCCATCAAGAATTTTCCAGAACCAGACTCATGGAATAAACTTCGACGTTTCTTGGGGATGATAATTTTTATCGTCGCTTTATTCCACATTGCTCAGCCATCCTACAACCTTTGACGGAGGTGTTAAAAGGTAAAGTCAAAAAGTTCACATTACCCTCCCAAGCGAAAGATGCCTTTTCTGCAGCTAAAACAGCAATCGCTTCTACTACCATGCTGACCTACTTAAGCCCTGATCCGGAAGCAACACTAATTCTGTGTACAGATGCATCACAGGCAGCAGTAGGTGCAGTACTACAACAGCGAGTTAATAATGAGGTCAAACCACTTGCCTTCTTTTCAAAGAAGCTAGAACCAACCCAAACTCGATATAGCACTTTCGGTAGAGAACTATTGGCTATTTATCTAGCTGTTAAACATTTTAACCATTTACTGCAAGGCAGAGACTTTGTGATACTCACTGATCACAAACCTTTAACCTATGCCTTTAACGCGAAAAGTGACCGTTATTCCCCTAGAGAAATGCGACAATTGGATTATATTTCCCAATTTTCGACCAACATACAGTTTATAAAAGGTGAGTCAAATGTTGTTGCGGATACTTTGTCACGTTTCAACGTCGATGCAATTTCCTTCACCAAAGGAATCGATTTATTAGACATGGCACGTTTGCAGACAGATGATCCTGACCTTGATGCTTGTAAACAAAGTTCGAGCTTGTCCTTAAAAAGTGTTCCTATACCGCATTCTGACTCTACTATCATTTGTGATACTTCTACTGGAACGCACAGACCTTTTGTGCCAATAGTGTACAGAAAAAGAGTTTTTGATTGTCTTCACTCACTATCCCATCCAGGGATTCGTGCTACTGTGAAACTGATTGCCGAAAGATTTGTTTGGCCAAAGATGAATGCAAATATAAAAAATGGACCAGGACTTGTGTACAATGTCAACGCAGTAAAATACATAGACATACGATTACAACACCGTCAGCATTTAGTCTACCCGACCATCGTTTTCAACATGTTCATGTTGATTTAGTTGGTCCTCTGCCTCCATCTAATGGATTCACTTACATTTTTACTGCAGTGGACCGTTTCACTAGATGGCCAATTGCATGCCCAATAAAAGATATCTCCGCGGAAAATGTTGCTGCTGTATTCCTCGACAGATGGATCGCTAATTTTGGTGTACCTTCTACAGTTACTTCTGACAGAGGTTCACAGTTCCAATCTCACCTCTTCAATGAATTTACCCGCATTTTAGGAATCCATCACATCACTACAACAGCATACCATCCAGCAGCGAATGGACTAGTGGAACGATTCCACAGACAACTAAAAAGCTCATTGATGGTACAACCTGATGTTTCTAGATGGAGTGAATCTCTACCTCTTATTTTACTAAGCATACGTTCCACAATTAAAGAAGACCTACAATGTACTCCGGCACAGCTCGTCTATGGAGCTAATTTAACCTTACCGGGGCAGCTAGTGACGCATAATGGCAAACCCGTATGTACGGATCCCACTTCTTTTTGCGAAAGACTAATGAGCCATATGAATAACATTAAGCCTGTTGCACCTCGGCCAGTTGTCTTAAAAGAGCAAGTTAGCAAGCATCTAAATACGTGTAAATTTGTATTTGTTCGTGTTGACTCCGTAAGACGCCCTCTACAACATCCTTATGAAGGACCGTATGAAGTAGTTGAGAGGCAAACAAAATATTTCACAATCAATAAGAACGGAAAAAAAGAAACAGTTTCAATTGACAGGATAAAACCTGCTTTTGTAGAGTACGAGACACATGACAGCCGAAAGCCGTCTAAAGACAGCAGCAGTTGCACAACGCAGTTTCCTGTGTTTCCAGATAATTCTTCACCTACTTCTACGAAATCAACACTTCGTAAAACAGACGATTCTAAAGTTACAGCTCCCACAAATTTAGCTCCTAGTCCCGCCACTTTAACTTCTACGAAAACAACTCGTTCAGGAAGACATGTACATTTTCCCAAACGTTATGTTGAATTCATTACTTGATCGTTATTTTGTCATTTTCTGTAATGTGGTTAAATATCTATATTAGCAGAGTTACTAATAACATTTTTTCGCGAGCAATTTTGTTTTTCTATAAAAAAAAACATTTCGTGTGTACTACTAATATTAATAAATTCATTATGTTTTTCTCTACATGTGTATGCGTTTCATATGACGTTTATTATTAATTGTGTAACGATATTCAACTTCGTTGGACTCGTTCAGTTTATCACTAATTGTCTACACGATTTATACATGTATTTACATTTTTCGGTAAACTATCAATTTCATTACCGTTATTATTAATAGCACTATTATTATTATTACACATTCCGTTATTGTTGTCAAACCTTTTATATACATTTTTTTAAAAACTTTTTTTTCGTAAATATGTATACATGTATGAATTTCTTTTATAACATTTGTTTATTCTTTTCGTTGTGTAATTTTCTTTTCCCTCTAAATTATTTAGAGTTTTACGTCGGGCATACTTCCACCGACGCATGCCCTAGGGGGGAGTTATATGGTGACGTATATTCAATGATTTTTGTAAAGACAAAATAAAAACCGTATTTTCTCTCTAGTTTGTCACACTTTATATGTAACCACATTTTTATTCAATATCTGTTGTTTTTCTCTATTACTTGTTAATAACGATGATAATTGTTTCGATGATTAATGTACGACTTTACTACCGCGAGGTTTGAAAATATAAACCGCTATCTACACTGTTTGTTCTTCTGCTTTATTGACCACGGTTTTTGATTGAAGACTGTAATGGTGTTATAACATCCCTTTAGCCCCTCCGACACCACGTTGGAATTCTGGCACGGATTATTATATTATAATACTATTGGACGCAATCTTTCTCAATACGCCGTTGGTGCAGTCACTTGCAGAGGAACCTTCGTTAATCGAGTGAACTTATCTGTGGTTGTTATTCTCACGAGGCAGCCTCCAAGTAACATTCAATCTATAATAATTGTTATTTGTTTGTTTAATATACCATTTGTATCGTAACTATATTTTGTTACTCTTGGTTTTTACTCACAGACAGACACATAGGTTTTTTTACTGTTAACTTTCTTGGTATATTATTATTAATCTAGCGTGTCGATATCTCTTGTTTAAGCTCCTTTTGTTGGGAACCATCGCAAATCTAGTGAGCCCGTAAATTTTTTTTCGAAACTAATTTTGAGTTCACTCACATACGTCACGGTGTTACTTTCCTCTTGGTAGTAATTGTTTTTTGTATATTTGTAATGTGCACTTCCAAAACTGAAGGCACGAGTCAGGACAACATTTCAACAGAGCTACACGCTCTAAACTTGATAAGTGTGACTCCATTCAGTCGATTAAACCTTCGCATTCGGTTTGCACAAGTGGAAGTACAGTCTCAACGTCGCAACATACGCTCACAGACATCCAAATACTCTTTCATGCTTGGACTACTGCCTACTGAAGTAGCATCTGAGGTATCGGATTTGATAGATAACATTCCTGCATCTAGTCCATATGATCAATTGAAGCAGGCCATTATCCAACGTACCTCACTATCAGATGAAAAGAGATTACAACAGTTACTGCACGAGCGTGAGTTAGGCGACAAGTCACCTTCCCAATTATTACGCCATATAAGACAATTGGCTGGACCTTGTAAAGTTGATGATGCTTTTCTCAAGGAAATTTGGCTACAACGTTTGTCAACAGTAGTTGGGCAAATCCTTTGTGCTTCTAGCCAACCCTTAGATTTAGAAAGTCTTGCTTGCATGGCTGATAAAATTTTAGAAGTTACACCTCGTACTACACCTTATGCACAGACAATATCAGAAACTTCCAACGACAAGCAAACTCCTACCATAGCATCGTTAACTACTGAGTTAGGCGAACTACGAGCACATCACGAACGAACTGTCGCCAGTCTTGAAAATAAACTAGATGCATTACAATTATTAATTTCCAATTTCACATCTCGAAGGCCTCGCTCCAGTTCTCGGAGGAGTAAGAATCGAGACATCTCAAAAGGAAATAAAATTGACGACCACATATGTTGGTACCATAGAAAATATGGTGACAATGCTAGGAAATATGTTACGTCTTGTGAATTTT